AGATCTTTTACTGAGTTTGATACAAGGATGTGATGTTCAAAATGACGCTGCTGTGGAAAGAAATGTGGATAAAACGTCAGCGGAACGACTGAAACCGATTGAACTAGTGCAAAGCGCACAGAAGATGGCAAGGTGCGTTCTTTAATTTTGTCAGTAGATGGAGCGCCTTAGGTGCCGTAAAACATAAACCAAAGTTATAATAACGGCCAATTAGGAGAAGGGAAAATGCCCCGAAGGGCCAATGAGGACTCAAAGGAAAAACACGCAAACTGTCTAAAGCGCGAGTTTTCTGGACCAATCACAGTGCAAAGTAAAGCCGAGCTAATTCAATCTCAGTTTACTTTCGACACTCGATTGAAAATTGCTTTGAAACTGCCAGAGCTTAATAATCATCAGTTTGGATAGGTGAGCAAAATATCGCGGTTTGTCATTGATTGATCTGCGAGTCTAACAAAGCACAATAATTTCCGATGACTGAGTTCAGTATTCTTACTAGTTTTCCTTTTCGTAATGATTCTTCCAGAATCACTCTCTGATAGCCTAGCGAAGCGATCTGCAGTTTTTTAGGAAAGAGCGTGACCACAGTAACGCATGTGCACCAAAACACAGTTTTGTCGGTATTTCCCATAAGAGATCTTTATTTGTAAGCAGTTCTTTGCGACTCAAATTATTTAATCAACCATCGCACAGGTTAAAACGATCAGACAATTTCACAAGCATCTTTCTTCCGCATATGTTAAGGCCTTGAATTGCTTTTTCATTTTTTTCAGATTATATCAAGAAATATCTACGCATAAAATCGCCTTTTCCAAGGTATGATTATATTTTGTGTGATTGTTCCATCTTGTTCTTCTGCTTAACATTTAACACCCGGCATTGGTGTTCATATTCTCCACACTGTTTTGAGAATTTGTTTGACGCTCACTGAGGAGCTTCCTAAATTGATGATCACTTCCTTTATTCTAAAAACCCTTGCATTTGTTTCAAGGGTGGCAGTGTGAGGAGAAATTAAAAGCCAGTCACTCCTAGTGGTTATAAGGTTAATGACGCCAAGTTAAGACAGATAGTAAGAACAGCAAGCAAAATAACTTCATGATCATGAAAAGAGGAGCTACAGTTTATGTTCGAAGCTCCCTGATCGTGCACAATTTTAACAGAAGACTCGATAGAGTATTTCTTCTAGGGGCAAATTAAAATTTCTCGCATTTCCTGACTTGCTGTTATTTTCCTTTATAGTATTCTCCGTATATGATCGCTGACTACATTCATGGCGTTCAAACTGTTGCTGTTCCATCGGTTATCAGGGTAAGATAAACAGTGAGAGCTGTTGGGTAAAATTGTTTGCTGTTAGAAGGTATTGAGCAAATCAGGAGTCACCAGAACCAGTTGAAAAGGGAAAGACCTAGCCAGAACTTTTTGCTCTCTGCCTGCTGTTCTTTTTCGGCGGTTATTCGAAAACTTTTTTGTTTGTTTTGAATAGAAAATAATGTTATATTTCGACATATTTATTCGGGGTTAGAGCAAAATCAATCGAGGGGAGAGATAAATGTTTCCGTTTGCATTAGCAGTAAACTTGTTACTTAATCTCTCTAGCCTTTTCAGTACGCCTTTTTTTCCCTCTCTTAACAGGATGCTCTCACTTCTGGTGTTTACTGCTTGTTCGAATTGTGTGGTGAGCATGAACTGTCGCTGTTACACGCTGTCCTGGAGAAAGGATCGCGGGAGCTTTTCCATTCCTTGCACGCGGACTACACCAAATATCACAAGTTCAAAGGCAAAGTTTGATCTTGACGAGGAGTAAAATAAAGCGCAGAAGCGTATATAAAGTACTGATAAAGAAAAGGATGATAGCAATAGTATATTTTTTTCTTAGTAAAGCTTGCGAAAGCGAAAAGGCACTTTAATGCTATTTTGCCCTCAAGTTAGCATCATCTGGCGTTTAACAAAGTAGAAAATGTTGTTATGGTTCTGTTGCGGTGCACAAGGTGTAATGTTTTCTGCTTACTTCAAGAAATATTTGTTTTCTAATGTAGTACTAGCAGAGACTGGGAGGCAAATGAAACAAAGTAAATAGCTGATGAGGGAGACAGCGTCAGAACATTTTGAGTCATTTTGAATGTCACAGAGAATGGGCTTACCTATTTGAAAAGAATTCTCCACTTAATCATACCCCCTCACTCGTCGAGGGAAAGTGGATCGGGAGATGTAGGTCGGGCGTATCCCTTTTCAACCTTACAGATCGCTTTCATATTCACTCTTCACACTGTTCTTTTTAAATCTTCCTAAAGTACTAACATGAGGAATTTGTTTCACGTTCTTAAATTGGTCAAGTACGATACTGTGAGGAGAAATTAGAAGCTAGACTTGGGGGCCATAGGGTTACGTCTGATCTCCCGCTCCACCTACTTCGGTTTTTTTCTTTTTCCTGTTCGATCAATTCCGTCAATTCTCCTTCACTAAATTTCCTATTGCAGATATTACACTGAATAACGACGTAGTTCATTGCATTGAAATGTAAACCAATTGGCCGTCAGCTAAATAATCTCGGGCATCTTAGCGTTATATAGCGGCGTGAAAGTGAAAGTTCATAAAGTCTTATTTTTCATACCAAGCTACAAATATTTTGGTACTGAATAATCGAAATATAGCCCGATACATCTAAGATTTCCTCAGCTACACGAGACGCCCTTTCAATCGTTAAATCCCTTAATTAGAGTTATTTTTCAAAAATATAAATAAATACTTGCGTCGCAAAGATTCCTCCTTGTTAAATATGCCATCAGGTTGCAGTAGCGCGCGAAGCGAAGGCCAAAATGCGCCTGCCCATCCCCGGTGAATTCAAGAGAGCAAAAGGCATAAAAGAAAAACTTTCATTCTTTATTTCAACAACACTATCAAAACGATGATAGAGTTTTATTTCATTAAAGCGTAGCAAATTTACTTAAATAAGTTCAGATCTTCAGGTTGCTTTTCTAATAATCATCCGCTGACTTCTTAGCTCGTCTGTCTACAGATTTACCACCTTTTCTCTTGTATCCTAATTTTCTATATGTAAATCGAATGAAATAAATTTTCAGCACCCAAAAAACAAACACAGTACTTGTCCGAAAACGTATTCGATTTTATTATTTTAAAACAAAGTTTACTGACATGGTCTTTGTCTTTTAATTATTTATTTTGAGTATTATCTGACTATTTTACAAACAAATGTAAAAAAAATTACTTCTGTACCGAATTAACTCAACACCCTACTCTTTATAAGACTTGAATTTCACATTAAATCATGCTTGTCAGTAAGTTTAGAATGAAGCCTCCAAATAAAGTCAGCCGGTCTCAGCTTCCAAAGTACAATATAGAGCAGTGTAAGGAACATTCAGAACTCTTCATGCATCGGCTTGCTGGCTTAGTGGCAATTATTTGTTAGCATTAGAAAGTACAGCTGTTAGAGCAAAGAGTTCAAAATGTTCCAAGTGCCAATTTCCTTACCGCAGTATAATTTAATTTTTTCCTTTCAGTTTTAAATATCCATAAGGAGGAATTGGTAAAAAAAATTTCAGATCGATTTATAATAAATTTGAAATTCAAGTCTTGTATTTATGCTACTTTTTCGTTGTCCTTGAATTGCTCTTCTCTCCGTGAATTAAAAAAAATAATCTAATTTCCTCCATGGACGTAAATAGTAAATAGACTTCACAACTTTTATTGTTACCGAGCTTTCACGCAGATAGTGTGAAATTTACTCTTAAAAATTCCTGACCTTTCCTCTTATAATAACCTTATAACCTCTATATGTATGGAACTTCTGAGTCATTTTAAAATAGCGTTCTGAGTGGAAAAAAAGCAAGTTGTTTTTTCAAAAAATGTGAAGATGAGATGAGATTGAACCTCAGAAAGACCACGAAACTTGACAACATTTTGTGAGCTCGATTTCGCAAAACTGTAAATTTAACTGGTTCTAACATCTGCAATTCTGTTTGAATGTAAGAGAAAATAAGATAAATAACAAACAAGTGGTATCGGAAATTGCTTGCTTGATTGAGGACCGGGCCGAAAAAATGAGTCCTAGGCCATTGGGTAGATCAATAAGTGCTCTCCTTCTGCCAAATCAACTACATAAACTAGAAGTTCCCTTTTTTAAATGTTGTTCAAAGGCAGGTTTCAGGAGATCTGAAGGAGGAGGCAAGCATGAGCCTTTGAAAAGTAAACTATTGAAGGTAGTACATTAACATGATCTCATGGCAGAGGGAACAAAAATTAAATTTCTAATAGACGAACAAGGGATATGAGCACATTAAATCATAATCATGAACTTTACAAATAGTTTTTATGGAGATGGAGGGATAATGATGAAAACCATGACGACATTAACAAGAACTTTAGAAAAAAAGAAAACTTTAGAAAAAAAGAAAACGTAAGAAAAGAACGTCAGAGAGATGGATTAATATGGCAGAAACTGGATGGAACAGAGGGTGATGATCATATATATATATGACCTCATAAATGAGAACTTAATCTTACTTGCGAAAAAACCAAACATGATATGGATGGATTGATGTGGCAGATTACGAGCAATTACATTTCTACCCAGAACTGAATTCGATAGCTTTGGTAGCTATTTGATTCAATTCATCCGAAAATTGACAACGAATAAAGTTTTTTCCTAACATTTTGGCAGTGCAAGAAATTAAGCTTCAAAAGACGCTTAAAAAATTCCCTTAATGCGTAATAGGAATGAAACTAATGATTGAAATGGTTTCCAGCCTCAGTATACTAGGAAAAAGCACCGTGAAAGAGGTTGCACTCTACAATTTTCTCTCTCTCCGTAAGAATCCACAATGCAAAAACTCACTAAACACGAAAAAAATTTTAAAAGAATTTCAAATATTAGGTTATGTCAAATTCACACGCTATTGTATATCAGCTATATGGTCTCGACCAGACAGAGTTTTCATCGGAAGTTTGATGTATTATATGTCTCACTAACTAAAGATTGTCACTTGGCTCATTGTCTTTGTTGTGTTATCCGATGACTCCATACGTGGAAGCTTGACAATTAACCAAACTAGATCCAGTCCTCTTTCACATCATGACAGTACACCACTTCTAAGTCGGTCTTCAATTGAGGGCTGAAAATTGACGAAAAATCGAGGCAATATTATCGACAACACCTCTGAAACCCGCCTTAACCTTTCTTTTAATTTCTAGTTACCCAGAAATGTAATCAATACCTGTGTTTACGTAGCGTCTTGGTCATGGTCTGTCCTTCCAGTAGAAGCAGAGCATGTTTAGCGATCATCTCGTAAAGCACTCCATTCCAGGTCTACTGACATTCAGTGTTATTAAAGTCAACCAAATTTTCCCGCCAACACAAAGTTGGCTTACACATGTGCTTCGGTCTCTTGGTGTCTTCAAAGAGATGGAGTTGCGAGACAAACCTGGAAAACTTCTTTGACAGCATTGAAATCTATTGCGATATAACTGCTAATGATAATTCAATAAATGTCATAGTTCCTATTAATTATGCAATAATTTGATATTTATTCAAGTTATGAATTGAGTTACAATTAAGCTCACCATTGTTATCAGATTTTTATTGTTTGGTTTATACTTTTTACTTGTTATGTTATCATTTGTATTAAGTAGGAAATACTTTTTGTTTATTTGAGCCATATATGTATTTGTTTAATGTTTATGTTTATATAATTCTGTTTAACTAATGGATTCATACATCAAACAAGAGAAAGAAATACCTCACCGAGTCGGGAGAATGTGGACACTCACTGAACGGGACTGGACTGGACTGCCTCAGTCTTTCTGGAGAGGACATCGCAGAATGGATCGCTGCGCGAGATGGTGCACCGGCGTGACTGGATTGAACAAGACTAGGCTGCATCAAACTGAACTGTACTGGATTGGCCTCTACTAGGGTGGACTGTGCTTAGCTGGACTGCGCTGGATTGTTCTGCACTAGCGTGGACTGAACTGTTACGGTTCCCCTGGACTGGATTGCCGAAGTGAAGACAGTTTTGTAAAAGGGTACTGCATTGGTCTTGATTTAATTCAAATGAACAGCAAAGTTACCAACAGACGGACACTGGATTCATTTGAATTTATCTCACTGGATTGGTGGACGCCACCGCATAGGACAGGAGTGAATCGGACTGGACCATACCGGATTCGGCGATATATATTTTTTTACTGGACCAGACTGTTGAGCTCTTTTTGGACTGAGCTGCCCCGTAAGTAATCGGTATACTCTTGACAGGACTGCTCTCGACTGATCTGCAGCTGCACTAGTTTTTACTGAAGGGTACAGCATGTGACTAGGACTTGACTTAAATACACTGCAATTGTCTCTGCTGAAAATGCTCTTAATCTGAAGAAGTCAACTGAATCACGTACTACTTTTTAGCTGGAGCTAAGATGTAAATGTAACTCAACGTATTAAATAAATTTGAATCGTCCAAATTGTCCCAATTCTCTCCTGCAGATTCATGCAACATGTCAGCACTTCCCCTATTTTGAACAAAAATTCTTCGTGTTTATTTAACAGGACCATGATAGTCTTTTACCTACTTGCAAAACGATCTTGTTAATTGCGGTTATTTATTTCAACATACCCGTCTTACCTCTTTCAGCTAGCGTGCGTTCTTTCTTTCTGCATCCAGCGAAATATCTGTATTTTCTCTCTGTGAGACAAATTTCATTTAGTGGGTGTGATTCTATGGTGCTATGATAGCTTGTTACTTACCTGCAAAGCGATCATGTTAAACTGAACTATGCATGTTATAGTTACAGCGCACCCACCTTACCTCTCTCGGTAAATGCGCGTTCTTTTTCTGCGATACATCAGCAGTTTCTCTATATGGGACAACAATGTGTTTAGTACGTGTTAATCGTAATGACTACGATAGCTTTTTTCTTACCTACCAAGTCATTATGTTGTAATTATGCATTTGATGATTAGGACATAATTACTTGGCAGGTAAGAAAAAAGCTATCGTAATCATCACGTAGTCATCACATGTAATTATGCATGTGATAATTACAACATATCTACCATACCTCTCTTGATCTGCGCGTTCTCCCTTCCGGTTTCTTGCGACGTATTAGCATTCTTCTTTCTTTTGGGCAACAATTAATTAAGAGCATGTTCATTTTACGTGAAAGTGATAGCTTTTTACTTACCTGCGAAATAATTATGACTTACCTCTCGTAGCAAACCGCGCGCTCTCTCTTCCTTCGTCTTGTGACATATCTTGAGATTCTGCTTTCTAGAACAAGAACCACCATAAATTTGTTAACATTATAGCGCTGTTAACGCTTTCCACTTACCTGCTGAACCACGCTATGTCCCCGAAAATAGACATATTTTAAACACGCGAGTCCCCGAAAATGGACATATTTTAAACACGCGAGTCCCTGAAAATGGACATATTTTGAACACGCGAGTCCCCGAAAATGGACCGAAGAGCTCGAAAGCTTGTGTACGGGCGCTCGTGGAAGTCAGTACTTGCACCCCCGAAAATGGGCGCCCCTACAGCTAACATGCACAGGGGCACATAGGCCGCTTAAACAAGGTTAGCCCGCCGAAAACAAAGGCCCCGAAATAGGCACGTTATCAGCATCCGAAAATATGGTAGTATGACGTTCCTGTAATCAAAATTTTGTTAGTAAGACCTAAAGCTAGCCACTAAAAATGTTAAAGAAAAGACACAGACACAAGTTTTTTGTTCTTTATTAGAAAGAGCAGCTTTACATCGTTATGCTTGCGAGTAGCACAGTGTGAGCCCCCGAAAATGGGCTTAACGAGGTTCTTGTGACCAAAATCGCATTTACTTGATCATTATAAGTAATTATGTTACCTTACTTATACTTAAATAAAATCAACACTCAGACACGCATGTTTCATTTATTTCATTTTTGATACAACATTACATCAAGAAATAATATATGCACTAAATTACTTCACAGAGCCTATCAGAAGGGAGGCGCACCTAACAAGAAAAATTTGGCGTCTAAGGAAACTCGGAGTGTTCCGTGTCAGTAAATGTCGACACCCCGATTTGAACACTCGGAAAATCCCAGACGGTGCTTTTATTTCTTCAGTGGCTTGCTCACGACTGACAGTCGCCACCAAGCCTTCATATTCCGAGCCGAAAAAAGAAAAAAATTCCGAAAAGCCGAAGAAAAGTCGAAGTGAAGTTTGAATCGTAAGTCGAGCCGAAATCCGGAAGCAGAGTACAATGCTGTACACTAAAATACGGCACCATTTAAATTATAATCACGCATACCCAATAATTTCCCGACAGTTTCACTCTCATGATACAAAAAGATTTGGAAAGGGTGGTGCTGTAATCTAGAGTACGCCATCATACGAGCGCACAAGCTCTCAGCGCGACAAGAGCTCTTCACATACCTCGGGCCAGTCTCCGACCGAAACCCTACCTTCCATGGAATGCTGCTTGTTTCCATGATGACTGCTGCTCCACGTTTTGTATTCCAGTCTCTGCCGCACTTGATGTGGCAAGAGTCTGAACGAAGTAAACTTCTAACAGCTGACAGATGATCCAATTAACCCAAATGAAAGGAGGAAGGCACGACTAATTTAAAATTTAGGAATTCAAATTGGCTTGAAAGGTGGCTTAGAAAATTTAACGCAATAATTTACAATCTGGAGGCAAACGCACGTAAATCAATTTTTAAACTTCAGCTGTTACCGTTTACACTCCGTCCAGACGCTCAAGTAAGTAGAGGCGCTTGCAATCGCGTAGGGTAATATCTTTATTTCAATTCTCGGGTAGGGGTGCTGTTTTTGTAGCTCTCTCAAACATCGCTGTCTGTTCAACTTTCAATGACAGGAAAAATCCAATCAACTTGAGAATTTACTCAAACCCTGGGCTTAACTAAAAGAACGTTTAATTCCTTGTTCAATTTTTGGTCGCCTGTCATGAAGCTTGAACGACGGAGATGACCGAGATAATAGAGCTTTCATTTATTTAGTTGTTTATTTAATTCCCTACGTTAGCTTTTCTATCTGACCTTCTTCCTAATACCAACGACAGGCGATTTTTGCTGCATCGAAAGATGGCCGTCAAATTTTGAGCCTTGAAAATGTTATACATGCTTATCAATGTGAAGAAAGAAAAATTTACATTGTAAAACAGATGAACTAGTAGAAAAGACGGCCCTTATGTTTCCCAGCAGTTCTTTCCTCGTTGTCTTCATGAACCATCCTCGTGTTGTCATCAATTGTCGAAGGCTGCCTGCGCTTACAGTTGGTAAACGTTCTAACGGTGTGTGCATTGTTCCCATGATTCCCTGCTGGCTACCAACTTTTCTGCGCTCACATTTGTAAGCCTTACCTGACGGCTGACTTCCTGTAACCAGAGGTAAACCACTAAACGTGTTACGAGAAGCGAAAATAGCTTTACTCTAACAGTTGAGTCGCTTAAATCCAGTTTACTACATTTTAAGCTAAGAATCTGGTTGAACCTTCAGGCCAAAACAGTTTGCTTTCCACAACAGTCTCACTCGATCACAGTGCTCAATGTGATTCCCTGCAATTAAGTGAGACTTAATATAATTGGCCGCATTTGAAGCAACTAAGCGGGAACGCACGCAAAAGAAACTTGGAGATATCGAATTCAACTGAAGTCGACGTCCAGCTGATGTAGAGCAAAAAAGCTGCCGATAAAAAGCCGAAGCCGGTAAAGGAAGCCGGATTTATGAAGAACCACAAGTCGAACGAGAAACGTACCGAAGTCGATATTAAACCGAACACCGATTGATTAAAAGTACCAAATGAAAAAAGGAAAACCCAGTGAAAAGAATTTGGAGGGAGGACCCACACCCACCCTGGGGGACCCGCTAACTAATCTAAATAAATTTAGACGTACATTAATTAAATCGAGCCGAATCAGAAGTTTGTCATCTTCTGTTAGAATTTGGATTTCAAGGTTCAACCAGCGCACTATCTAATAAACCCTCCGTCGTCCCAACCCAAAGTGATTTTACTAACCAGCCGGACATGCACATCAGCGTCTTCTAACTGACCCGTTCCCAGCCTCCTCGCATGCGACGAAAACGAAGAGAAGAAAAGACCCAATGGGGCGTTGGCCCTTTCCTTCGCCACGCTTTCGAGTCCTTATGTGAGTTGTACTGGTAACGAAAGTCAGCTCTTGCGTTGAATTGTGTTGGTGGTGGGATGTTCTGGATTGGACTGGACTGGAAAGGACCGAGACAGGACTAAGTTGTAAAGATCAGGACTGCTGTGGACTGGAGTGTCTGGACTGAGGTGAAGTAGAGTGGAGTGGAGTGGAGTGGAGTGGACTGGACTGGACTGGACTGGGCTGGACTGGACCAGACTGGAACGGAGGGAACTGGACTTGATTGGACTTAGATAAGACTGTCTCAGATATGGATTATATCCGTCAGAAAACTGTAGCTCCTAAAATGTAGATGACATTTATCACACTTGTTAAAAGAACGTGGTACAATGTGAACAAACAAGGGTCCTTAGATAATCCTTTAACTCCCATGAGTGACTAACACAGAATTTCTCCTTACGATATCAATGGGAAATAAACCAGATAAGTCATGAGAATAAAGAAAAATATCATTAGTTAGTCCAATACTCAATTCTCTGAACTAACATTATACGAATTGTATGGTTGATAGTAAGGAGAATTACAAATTTGGTCTGGGAGTTAAAGGGCTAAGTAGCATCCTTGCAATTCTTTTCTCTCGCGTAGAACTAACCAGCCACAAATTTGAATAAATTACAATTTTCCCGCCCGCACATGAAATGCAAAATGTACGAATGCAGTCTAAAATTCTGAAATTTCACAGAAGCAGGTTGCAAAACTAACAACTGCTGAGAGAAACGCGAACTAAAATATTTTAGAATAGAAGGTTCGGATACTTCTAAGCGCGAAAACGGCTTCAACCAAGGAGTATAGAAGGAACCTACTTTTGTTTTGAATTTTTGCTAAAGAATGCAAACACTCACAGAAATTAACTGACAGCTTGTAACAGAAGCATAGGTTACTGAACAGATTTAGCGGATTCTTCGAACTCGAACAAAAACTTCGACCCAGAACGTGCTAACACTCTCGCACATGGCCAAAGTATCTTTGAAACTTACTTCCCAAAAAGGTAAACACTTACTTAAAAGTATTCCAATACTTACCTGTTTCCGCCCGTTGGTAGAAATGGTACAAAACGCGTCGCACAAGTTCGACAAACGACGAACAACGGTCAAAAATCTTCGTTGCGGCAAAGGTTGAATTTATCAAAACTTATGATAATCTTGTGAAGTGTGCCCTTTTTAAACCGTTCCCACGTAGATAACAGGACATGTTCTGATTGGTTTGCATAGTTGCACGGGTTTTGCG